ATACATATAAAAAGCTGAAGCACAAGAAAGTTGGTCCCTGCCGAATCGTAAAGAAGATCAATGACAATGCTTATATTGTTGATCTTCTAAGTGACCTCAATATCTCTATGACATTCAATGTGGCAGACCTGTTTGAGTATCATTCCCCAAATACTCCCTTTTATCCTGACAACAACTCGGGGTCGAGTTCTTCTGAAGTGGAGGAGACTGATGTAGAACAGATAGCAAATGCCTATATAGACACCTTCAAGCGTTATAAAAGCGAGCGCTCCCACTCTCGTCTTAAATGACGGGTCAATTTCAAACGATCATAACTTTTGATCCGAAGGAGTCATGATGCGAACAGCATAACAAATCAAAATCCTTGATTTCCGATCTTTCAAAGATAATCCTTGATTTCCAGGCCTTCAAGATTTTGGACGTGATTTGCATATTTCGGAACGCGTTTTGAAGATTTTCTCTTTTATCAATATTGCCTTCAAAGATTTTGGACGTGATTTGCAGATTTCATAATGCGTTTTGAAGACTTTTCCCTTTATCAATATTATTTTTCTTAATTTTGTTATTTGATTTTAAATATTTGGTTGTTTCCCAAAAGGCGACCTCCCTATAAATAGGCGCCTAAGATATTGTAATTAGTACTTTGATATTGAGAATAAACGTTATCTTTTGGAAGCATATTCCAAATCCATCTTCCTCTGCGTTAGAGGGTATCGAAGTTGTCGATCATTCCTGAACTTTCGATACCTGAAGAATTGGATTGTTACATGACATTCATCGATTAGAATGGTTTTAGCGGAAAGGACGTAACGTAATCTGGGCATGGGGGATCCCCTCCGCTTGGGGATACAAAGGCTCAAAGCAAAATGCGCTCTGGTTCTTTGGAGTTGACGATCACTTATAAAACTTCTCCTTGAGGAAAACGTGGTAGCTGGAAATCTTCTAAATCAAGTGCAGACATTCCTGCATCTGAACGGTCTGTCTTCCTCCAGGGATGAGGTGTCCGGCTGGCCACGGTTATGAAACAAAAAGGGGATCCTTGGCGGAAGGATCAAAGGCCCAAAAGGCACGCACGCATGGAGTTAAATCCATAGGTGATCGAGGCAATCATTCTGTCTGTCTTCCTAATGCAGTTTTGTATTGTATTATTGATCGTTGGGTTGCTCTTCAATTCGGATTCAGTAAATCTTTGTTGATTATGTGGGTTTCCTTGATCACAAAGGACTTTCCAGATTGACATAACATAGTCATCGTCGTATCCATCAGATTGAGGTAAATTGGATATCGCCGGAAAGGAGTCGGCAACGTGATCAGGTTTTTGTTAGAGAAGAGAAGCTGGTAAATAAAGAAAAATCAAATAAACGTTGCTAAGTAACTCAAATAAAAGATGATAGCGAAAACTGAGTTGGTGACTTAATCAAGAAAAGTTAGTAATCGCTCTAATTATGATTGGTAATTTATAAAAAGAGCTGGTAATTGTTCAGGAATAGAAGTTGGAAATGAAAAGAAAAGTTTGTAGAGTAAAAAATAAAAAAGTCGGTAAGTAGTTTAAGTGAGAGTTGATAATCCAAAACTAATAGGTAACTTAATCGGAGAAAAGTTGATAATTTACTCAATCAAGGGTTAGCAGTTTTATGTGATAGATGATAATTTAAGGTGTTGGTGATTTTCTATAAACCCCGTCATCATAGTCCCACATGGCTTGGGTGTGCATAAGTGGGGTAATATATATGCTTGGTTCCAGAAGAGGTGAGGCCGTCTAGGCCTCTCTTTTTTGCGTCTCTTGGTCCTCCATATACAGAAACGCATTCAAAACTTTTGATCATTATTGTATTTTGATATCCTTGGTTGAGAACCAAGACGGCTTAACAATTTAGTGTACCTTGTTGATCGCGTATGAAAAGCTTAAACAAACGACTATAATGAATGAACAATAAAAATCGCCAACTTTCCATTCCACATTGCCGTTAATGGTTAGACGTGACGATTTCATGTCATCTTCTTTTGCCAAATCAGAAGATTATATATATTCGATTTTTTCCTTCCCTTTCTTTTTATTTTTCCTTTCTTCTCCTTCCTTTCGCTTCCACCGTGGACAACTCAACCTTGTGACTCGCCTTCCACCACCACCTCACCACCGTCCCAGCCCCTCCGTTCATAACCACCTCGCCGCCTTCCACCACCGCCGTCCTCCGGCAGTGGTGGAAGCTAATCCATGAAATTGGACTTGGATCCATTTCCCCCTCCAAGTTTTCCCTAAATTTTCCTCATCATCGTTCTTCGTGGGATGAGACATGGATCGATAAGGTGGAGGTGGTTCTGGAGAAGACCTGGGACTTGCACGACAAGCCGAACGACGCCATTTAATCGAGTTCTCTGACTCACTTCCTCAACTCCATCAGAACCCAACGGAAATCGAAGCAGCAGAATAAGTAGCAGTTCAGTGATCCCCCGGTGGATACATGCTCGTTAAGGAGCTTGGAGTCGACAGTGAGGCGGTGCAAGAGGCCAAGAGCCTTAACGCCATCCGAATTGCTCTGGAGAATATCGAATACTAGCTGGCGTTTTTTTCATGCCAGTCGTGGATTTGAATTTCCGTTTTTCTTTTCCAGTATGATATGTCTGCAAGGTTGAACTTTCATGGATAAGCTTCCACCAATTCCGGACGATGATGGTTGTGGAAGGCGGCGAGGTGGTGGTGATGGATGGAGGCCTGGAACGACGGTGATGTGGTGGTGGAAGGCGAGTTATGGGGTTGAGCCGTCGGAAGAAGAAGAGAGGGAAAACAAGGAGAAAATAGAAAATATATGTAATTCTGGTTTGGGAAAAATATGAAGTGGAATTGCCACTTCGGATCATTAATGGCAGTATCGGACAGAAAAATAATGGGCGCCAAATTTGGATATAGAGTGAAATGCGGAGATTTTCTATGAGACAAAAATCGTTCGAATTATAATTGAAATCCGAGCTAAAGTTAGTTCTTTTTTAGGGAATTAAGCTTTACAATGAATAATCCTATGCTATCTCTATAGAGGAGAAAGTCTCGTACGTTATGAGTAGAGCCTCCCATTCCAAAAACTAATTGGTACATCACTTTCCAACAAAATTTAGCATGCTTCTTTTCGGGATAAGAAGATCATAAGTGCCATTTTCAATACAACCAATCACTTGAGTGCCATAACTTTTTAAATACGTTCATCCAAATGACGAAAATCGAACGTGGCATAATACTCGTGGGAAACGTTTTTTATGCCATTCGAGTGATCAATTGAAAAGTTATATATGACACTCAAGTGTAGGAAAAAAAAAGTTATGGCACTTTGGTGAGTGCCATACATAAGTTATGGCTCTCAACTTGAAAAAAGAGAAATGTCACTAAAGTTAAGTATCGTATGAAAGTTATGTCATTTGTAGTGTCTGTTTTCCCTATTTTTCAGAAATATAACATTACTCGTATGAAAAACATGCCTTTCAAGCATATTTCTTCGGGAAAATACCACAAAAAACTCCAAACTATGCCACTTGTGATAAATTTACCTTGAACTTTTTTTTGTGACACGAAAAACTCCAAACTATGCCACTTGTGACACATTTACTCGACAATACTTTTGCCCAAGGGCATTTTCGTCTTTTTCATTTTTAATTTTTTTTTCTTTCTTCTCTCTTTCTTCTCTCTTCCCCTCCGCCGGGAGAAGAAAGAAAAAAAAAGGGGAAAAAAATAGAAAAAAGAAAAAGACGAAAATGCCCTTGGACAAAAGTATTGTAGGGTAAATGTATCACAAATGGCATAGTTTTGGGTTTTTCGTGTCACAAAAAAAAGTTCAAGGTAAATTTATCACAAGTGGCATAGTTTGGAGTTTTTGGTGGTATTTTCCCTATTTCTTCTAAAAAAATCGACTCTTGCTCCCTCTGTACGGCAACTAACGAAACCTAATAATAGTGACGTAGGCCCGAACATAAGCACGAGTACATGGTGCATCATGTGAAACCAGAACTAAAGAGTGAGTTGAAGAAAATTGGAAAGATATTGCGAAAAATACATCATAAGATTCCAAAACGTACGCAGGTAAACCCACACACGCAAACAGTTTCCAATGGAATGAACCCTAGAACTATGTTCACTCTCTACTAGTTCTACACAAGAACGTACAATGGTTTTTGTTGAAACATGAGAACTTCATCAAGAAAGATTCCTAAGCAAACTCATAATCGCCATCCGATGACAGAAACCACAACTTCAGTTCCATCGAACAAGTCTTCCTTGCCTCCGACAACCTTAATGTGCCCGATGAGCTCGGACCAGTCGCGGCGACATGGTCGTCCTCATTCTCTTCTTCGAAGATGGTCTCCAAGGTTCTGTGAAGATGATGGAGTTTCGAGGTAGTAGCAGCACGAGACGGCACAAGAGCGGATAATGGGGAAAGAGGTAAAGCTTCCGACAATGGTCGGAGGAATGATGGTTTCGGAACTGGGGTGATTGGACAAGCCATCGTTGGAGCCACTTGATGGCTCATCATCATCTGATGTGGTCGGATGCTCATCACACGCTCACAAACACTATGATATCATGCTGTGCGAGGAAATGGAGCTTTTATAATGCAACTTTGGGTGCAAGTTGATAAGTATAGGATGTGAAAGTAATAAATTTCGATTGGTTGATAGCGAAAAAGCAAAAATTTGTCATGACATGGAGTGTTTGAATTTTAGGGAAGCGTCGTTATCGTGCCTAATTTCGACAAGCGGGGTTGTAAGGGAGGACATTCATGGTCCCTCCCGTGTCCTATTTTTTGTAAATGCGCACTGAACTGAACTTTACCATTTAATGGGAGAAGCTGTGGATGCAAATATACGCGCCGTCTCCGATTCTAGCCTTATCTACTATCCCGTAGAATAGTCAACATATCTCTCTCTCTAAATGTTTATCTGTCACGCTCTTTCTCGCGTGGCACGGAGGTCCCCCTCCACCGACTACATGTTGCCAACTCTAGATCTAGGAGAAAATATTAGGTAGGACTCGTATTCCACCGTGGCAAAAAACGAGTATCCCAGCGCGCGACACGTGTCGTCGGGCCCCACCCGGTCAGACCTCCAATATTTTGAAAATATAGCGCGTCTCTCTCCTCTCATCTCTCACACTCTCGCGCCCCAACCCCTCTCTCTCCTCCCGGCTCAGAACTTGGCGCTCCCTCCGACTCTTCCGACGCCGGCGCCTCCGCCTCCGCCGACGACACCGACGCCGACGCCGACGCTCCTCTACGCGCTCGCGCTCCCAACCTCTCTCTCCTCCCAGACGCGACGCCTCCGACGCCGACGCCTTCTGCACTCTGAGAACTCGCGCTCCCTCCGACGCGACGCCTTCGACGCCGCCTCCGACGCCGACGACGAAGGCCCACGGCCCTAGCCCTAGCTGACGCCGACGCCGACGACGAAGCCCGACGCCCTAGCCGCCGCCCCAGGCCTAGCCGACGCTGACGCCCTCCGCCTCAACTAGCTCTGCACCTCTCGACGCCGACGTCGACGCTGACGCCGTCGCCCTAGCCCTAGTCGACGCCTTGCAGTTGTCACCGCCGTCCGACGAAGCTGTACCACGCCCCGCTCCGCCCTAGCTTCGAGAGGTACAGATTTGAACTGATTCAGCGTTTTATTCCCGTGTGCAGACTGTGGATGCTGTTCAAAATGACCTGTTTGAAAGGCATTTTGAATTGTGTTAGCATTGAGTATTCCTTTAAAGGGTGGCATTTTATTCGACTTTCAATAAAACGTTTCTCTCTGCGTCTGCTGACCAATTGTGATTGTTGTGACTACTGTTGCTATTGCTGCTGTATTCCGTCTGCCCAATTTCTAGCATGGTATTATTATCTGCATAAAAAAAGTAAAGGAGGAAGCAGAGGTAAGGAGCTTAGTTGGGTGTTTCTGATGTAGTTACTTTGATTTTTTTGGAGATTGCTTCTCGTCTGGGACTTCTTCCAGGTTCAGCGAGGCATTTTGGCATAAATGCCGATGTTAATAGCGTATTGTCTATGGCAGACATTGTTCTTTATGGTTCTGCACTTTTATTGTAAGTTACAGTTTAGGCTCCTCAAATTGCTTGAGCCATCCTCTTTACTTCACAGCTCTTCATAATATGATTGACAGAGCAATTAGTATAGTCACTCTAGTGAAGAATTTGATTTCCAATTAACATTTATGACAGACAAAGAGCGAGATTGTTCTGACCAGCTGCTTCCTGCATATTATCATGTAGCCTTTGATGGGGCGCTTTATTTGCTGATGTTAATTGCGAGCCTAACAAAATGTCTACATATTTGGGGCATATATTTGCACAAATGTGGCATGAGACTTGATACTTGTTGTAATTCGTTTTGCACATTTCATCTTATATTTTGTTGTGATATCGTGTTGGACTGTTCTCTATTGAACAACTGCTTCAAATTCCTATCTCAGCATTTGTTTTGAGAATGGTATGCCCAGTTATGACTGTTATTCATGCAGGTTTGAAGTCATGAGTATGAAAAAGACTCTGTAAGAGGAGGGAGATGGCACAACAAGAGATAATGTGGTTTGGACAAGTGAAATGGATGATGTGTTGATAGATGGGTTGTTGGTGGAACAAAGAAAAAGCAACCGTCACAATAGCCTGTTTAACAGCGAGGCTCACCACAATACCGTGAAAACCTCGAGGAACTCCTTTAGTCCATCTATTCAGAAATCTAGAATACAGAATAGAAAGAAGACAATGAAGAAGTATTTTGCCAGAGTGTAGCAATACATTTCATGGTCGACTTTACTTGGAATGCCATCACGTGGATGTTTGATGCTCCAGATAAAGGAGAAGTTACTTCTTGTAAGTTCCAGGTCATTTCAATTGTGAAATCTTCTTTGGATTTTCTTTTTTTACTTCTCATGTGTATTAATGCGCCTAGCAAGAATACAACAACTGCATATATTCCCAGAGAGACGTGAAGCAAGAAGGTGGAGGCCACTGCCTATTCACAGTTACGACAAGCTTTCTGAACTTTATTCACAAGATAGAGCAATTGGTGAGCATGCTGAAACTACTGGAGAGAGAGGCTTCCCGACAACTAGAGTTAAATGACTCGCGGTCGCAGGATAATCTCATGGTCCGGATAAAAGACTTGATTGGTGGGTCGCAATGCATTTTTGCTGGATGTGTTCAAGAGTCAGTGCGGAAGGCTGAGCACGGGAACGGAAAGAGTCACAAACACCCTAGAAAAGGTGAATGTTACGACCTAAAAATCTGTCCGCTAATATGATTCATTAGCAGGCAGATTAATTTCTTTTCACTTTTGTCACCGACGTCTCAAGTTACGATCTGTGCCTGATCCCTTGGTTTCTCCGAAATTTTTAGTGCTTTACTTGGGGAAAGATTTCTTCCCTTTTTTGTGAGCCGGTGGTTTTCTGCTTGCAATGTTGCTTCTGGGCATTACTTGTTTGCTTGAGATTATTTACTTGGGAAATGTCAATGGAGGGTATGCGCGTTCTTGGTTCAATCTTTCTGACAAAAAGAAGAGCAGAAATTAGTCTTTATGTTTGTTTCGTGAGACTAAAGAGTAGGCGATACTGATTGCTTATATATATCGTGCACTTGATGGCAATTAGCTATTTGTCTTTAAGAAAAGGTTATAGGAGAGAGATAGTCGATTGATCTATTTCCTCTTTTCCGATGGAATTATTAATTTGCATTTCTTGTGTGAATCTTAGGTTTAACATGATGGTAGCATGTTCTAATTCTATTCGGTTGGTGTTCTGAATTATGTTCTCATTCTCCAACTCTACAATGATGTGATTTTCGGCATATCTTCGTCGTCATGGATAGATAATGTCTCGAAGGTCTGAAGAAATCAGCTGACAACCCCTCTTTGCATTTGCCTTTGCTCAAAATCGTGATCATCCAATTGTATGCTATAAGACTGACAATACAAACGCATCAAAATCTTGTAGATGCGGCGGCTAAAGCTGATGCAGACAATGTCCTTGAAGAACGCGATCCCCAGTACGATGTGATGCTTAGCCAGATGGTGGGTCGGATTCGATCAAAACCTGGAGGAAAACTTGAGATGGGTGAGGTTTGTAAGTTGATTTTCTTTTTGTAACTTTTGATGATTGTGAAGTATATAATTTGACGTTTATGGGGAGTTTCAGAACAAGGAGCTGTATCAGAAGATGTTCACCGATGAGGAGAAGCGGGCCAAGTTCTTGTGGTGGAGGGTCCAGTTCTTGGAGAGGAGCATCCGGAAGCTCGATTTCAATCCGGGTGGCACTTGCACCATTTTTCAGGTGAGCGATCTCAAGAATTCCCCGGGACCGGAGAAGCGCGAGCTCCGGATCGCCAACAAGCAGGCTCTCCAGATGCTTCAGGACAACTATCCCGAGTTCGTGGCCAAGCAAGAATGTTCACATTGATTTCCTGGTTGATGAGTTATGTTCGGCTGTCCTGTTGTTTGAATTGACGATTTTTGTGGGTTCAAATGGGGTTTTTGGTTAGGTGTTTATCAATGTTCCCTGGTGGTATTTGGCGTTCTATGCAATGATCAGCCCTTTTTTGACCCATAGGACCAAGAGCAAGTTTGTGTTTGCAAGCCCCTCGAGAACCGCGGAGACGCTTTTCAAGTAAATAGATCCAAATGCGTTTCGGTGCATTAAGTTCTAATCATTTCCTCATGGAGCCTGTCATAGTTGAAACATTATGCTTGTGTGATTGGCAGGTACATTTCTCCTGAGCAGGTACCGGTGCAGTATGGTGGCCTGAGCATAGATTATTGCGATTGCGATCCTGAATTTACTGTTTCTGACCCTGCAACCGAGATGACAGTTAAGCCGGGGACCAAACAAATTGTGGAAATCATAATCTATGAGGTATAAACAGATATTTTCATTCAATCTTATGCTTGAGTTCTGCTTGTTATGGATATTATTTTTCTAATTCTATATCCTGCAAAATATGTGATAAGAAAAACCAATGGATGAATTACTTGTACTAGTGTTAGTGACTGAGATTCTTCCAAATGCAGAAATGTGTTATCACTTGGGAGCTCTGTGTTGTTGGGTGGGAAGTCATTTATGGTGCTGAGTTTGTGCCTAACTCTGGTGGATATTCAATCAATATCCAGAAGCCCAAGAAGATGTCACCTGTGGATGAGCCGGTGGTGCATGGAACCTTCAAAGTTTCGGAACTGGCAAAGTGTTGCTAACTGTTGATAACCCTACCTCAAAGAAGAAGCTTCTCTACAGGTTCAAGATTGACCTATTGGGTGATTGAGCTTGCAAAATCAATCATAGTTAGCTAAACGCAATATATTCTCGGATATATTGGAGAGTAGGAAGTCTCTGGTGCTCATATTCGTCCTCTCTCCTGGAGAAAGTTTGATTGGCGGTCAATCCTTGTACATTATATGTCACATCTTCCTTTTGTTTAGTTCATCGATTTGTGGTTTGGATTTTGAAGTTTAGGTTTTAGCTTTTTTGAAACCTTTTTTTTTTTTCACGTGGTCGTCATTTCTTGTTTTCCCCTCCTGGTGATGAGAGGCACGATCTGCAAAATTTTGAATTTGGAGTACCAACTTGCTCCCAGTGGCTATGTTGGATACCTCTAGGTGAAGGTGGGAAGATATTGCCATGGAGACACTAGTGGTATAGTGTGGCATCTGTATTGTTTTTTGTTCTGTTCACTGTTGAATATGATTTGCATTTGCTCTTGATGTACATTAATGGAATGTGCTTGAAGTTGACATATGTCAGAACTAGTTGGTGCTGGCAGATCCATTTTTTGAAGGTCAACCTGTAAGAGTAACTTACAGATTTTAGTGTTCAAATCTAATTTATCAGAGTTCCATTTTTTAGAGTGACTCCTTTGTAGTCAGAGGAATCTTAATATAATGACCTCTACGTTTAAAGTTGTTGGTGGGAGGCATGATTCTGTTTTTCATTCTCAAGAGTCTTCTGGGAGCTCTTCAGGGTGACTCTGTTTCAATGTGGAGCTAATTTCTATTTGTTGTTGCATTCATCTATTCATGCCATCGTGTGTTGATCTTTGCTTGGTTGATATACCTTGGGGAAGAAGCATTCTCCTTTTTCTTGATGACTGAATTATATGCAATTTTTACATCTTTCTTGCTGGTTCTGCTGCTTTGAACATGTAAATACTGGTATGCTTGTTTTGGTTTTTAGTGAGGAACATGTACATTTATGTGAACTCTCTTTCTTGATGAGAAAGGTTTTTCTTGGTATATTTCCTTCTTAGATCTGCTTATTCAAGCATTATTACAGCGCTTTGAAGGCTTTGTCAGATTACTTTTATGGTTCCTTCCAAGCTTCTGACTTGAGCATTTTACGGCTTCCACATTTCCCCCTTCGTTTTGGTGTCTTTTTTTCAGTTTGTGTTTGCTTGGCTTACTTGTTTTGTTTGCAAATTTTGATGATGCCGCATCTCCCCTGCCTTCTTGATCCCCTCAACTTTCGGTGATTCGAGCTGTTTTGTGGAGAATCCGAATGGAAGTGATCGAATTATTCGCGTTGATTAGATGGTGTACTGTTTTTACCACTTTCACGTATTTGACCAGATGGCATTTGCTTGATGTGGCAGCAGTGCATCTGTTAGGTTCTTGATGTGGCCGCAGTGCATCTGTTAGGTATGAACTGGTCTTCCGTTGCTGTCATATTGTTCTTGGTCGTCCTTGCTTTCGATTTAAAAGGGGCACTTTTTAATGTTTTCCTTCTGTTTTAAAACATGTATTGGGAAAATAATCTGTATGAGCTTTTTAAAGTGATATGCTTCGTACCCACCACTGAGCGAGTAGGAAAACACAATGTCCACTAAAGTATCAATTACTTGAAGCATGTTTTGGTGCCTAGCAAAACCAACTTCCCACTTTGCCACTCAGCAATCGGAAGTGCAAAATGTCAAAACAAAAAGTAGCATAATATACAAGCAGCAAAACCCTGTCCAAGGTTTACCAATTATTCTTTACACGTTGAACATAGTCAAGACAACTTGATTGCACTATGTCACATGCTTCCATCTTGTGGAAAACCTTTATCAATGCTACAATAAACTTTACATGAGAGAGAGAGTAGGAAAAAAAAATAAACATTATATTTTCAAGAAATCAGAATCCTTTAAGAAGAGGTCCTGCAAATAAAAACCCCGTGCGTCGACACCTGCACATTTCGAATTTACTCAGGTCCGGACCCGTTATTCTCCGGTTTCAACTCTACATCGGTAGGCTGAGGAGGCAGAGATTGCTCCTCGGCAGGCGCGGAGGACTGGATGGGTTTCTTGAACTGGACCAAGATCATCGTCATGTTGTCACATCCCTCGCCAGTCACGGTGGATGATGCCAAACATCTGTCTAGAACTCTGTCGCACACCGCAGACAGCTTGATTTCCTGCGTTGCACGTCAACCAAAATGAAGATGCAAAGATCACGTCGCTCTCGGACAAGCATCTATATGAGCATAAGCAACTTACCGACTTCAGCTGGTCATGTATGAAATCCACTAGCTGCTGGCTCGACATGCAATCCCTGAACCAAAGTGAAGAAAAATCACATGACCATCTCTTCCTCCGTCACCCCCCCCCCCCCCTTTTTGACCATGACATGATCATCTTAACTTAAGGTAGATGCCGATAATTGCATTTCGCATACCGCCGTGTTGTAAAAGAATCAATCTAATGACACATGAGCGCAAAATAACCGTGTTTACAAAAGCATCATCTACATGAAATCAGATAACCTTGAGATTTACATGTGAAGCATGATACTAATGGACCCTTCCTCAAATTATATCATAGAGGTTATTTGGTTTAATCAATGCAGACTTCAAATCAAGCACGTTCTATTCCATTCAGGCACACAAAAACTTGGATTTCTTAATAATGGAAGGGAGGGCAGAACGTAAGGTAAAACTTAATCATTGAATACAATCCACAGACTACTATATATGGCAAAATCTTCTGCCTTAATGTTAGTTAAGCAAGACATGAAGAATGTCGACATATACCAGATTCCATCACATGCCAGCACAATGAAATCGTCGTCGTCACAAAGCTCCACCTAAAGATGAAACAGTAAAAAGAAAGGGTTAGCAGTAGCACCTATATAAATCCAATAAGATTAAAGACTAAAATGAGGCACAGCCACACCAAAGTCCTAGTTAAACACTAAATGATAACAAAGAGAAACGAAGGAACTCTAGATCAAGAAATCTCCGCAACTACCACTTTTGCAATAATGTACCTAGAAAACAAAAGAGTGATCGTTTGGAACTATACATACAGTATTTATATCTAGGGTTGGCAGTTACAATTTGCTTCTCAACAGGCAAAAATTTGTTCTGCTTGAATTCCACGTCACCTGCAATATGTGGAAAATGGTATGCTTAAATTACTAAAATTGTAAAGTGGTGTTTATCAATGCCACATGCTGCATAATAAGTTCCACTGCCGATGCGAAGAGTCAAATTTGCCAATCACACCAACAATGCGAAAAAATAGAAATGAATAGACACGAATGGAACCTAGAATCAAATACGTGATATTCACAATATAAGCATGTAACATAAAAAATCCCAAGGGGGAAGGAAGTACCTATAGCCCTGGCAAGATTCAAACTTTCATTAACTCATCCGGCATGGATGAACCCTCGGCTTTTATAATCCTCTCCTTTTCAGCCTCATATTCAGGTTTATGGTCTTGAGAAAGATTGTATGCCTTTTCAAGGAGAATCCAAGATAGAATGTTACAGTTCGTGTACTACCTCTATCCAGATATACAGGAGACATACTACGTCTACCAATCAGAATATCTTAACCACCACAACAAATTTTAAGTTATATGGTGTCCTTAGTCATCCATGGTGCAGAAGTTAAACATCATCTTTAATAAATCAATCCAAGATAATAGATACTCAAAAAAGGCATGCAGATGCATGATGACCTGTTCCAATAAATACAAGAAAGATTTTGAGCTGTGGCTTTAAAATCCTACCTGACCCTTCCTAGATATGACACACCGAGAATCACCAGCATTCGCGACAACAAGCTGGTTGTTTCTAACAATTGCAACACAGGCTGTCCTCCCAGAAGTTGGTCCAGAGAAATCAGAATGAGACCCCTGACAAAATGCCAAAAGGACAATGTCAGTATCACTGTTGTGAAATATCAATAGAAATTTAAGTAACAGCTGGGACTACAACGATAATGAGGAAACTCTCGATTTTTGGCTTGCTGCACCTACATCCTCAAAAGCCCAATCATCAATCCGGCCGTAAACGTCACTGCCCTTTGGAGACCATATAAGCCCTTCTATCATACCGGAGAACTTGTTTATTTTGTCCCCAAGAACAGCTAGCTCCCTCCACCCTCTTTGGCCACGCATCATCTCATCCATTCTGCAAAAGCAAAACCAAGCAATCCCAGTTTTGAACCATAATGTTTCAACAAAACTATGCACGTGAGTTTGTCTTAGATAAAATATATGCAGCTGAACTAATCATCCCGATAGAGTCTCTTAAAATTCAAACTGTCCTGCAGATCTCACCATAATATGATTCATCAGACATTTTCTGTGGTACAGAAGCAATACTTAGCGAACTTTCATCATCTAACCAGACACAATATGATCGAACATTTATTCCAGAAAAAGCATTGAAGTTTTCAACCCATTTTTGGTCAGAATATTTGAGTATAGGTCGAGTGTTCACACCGCCACACTCTGTTTTATAATAATTTTGCCTTTTACTCTATTCCCCCATTGTTCGTTTGACATAATTATGTCCACATTCTGCATATTACATGTCACACTCAGCTTACATACAAGAGGCAGCACTGCGATAT